TTTCGAAAAATTCTTGCAGCTGTTCTGCCATTAGTATTAGCTACCAGTCGCTCGAGATATGACGCAATTTCCAGCCTCAGTGCTCGCCTCCTCTCAAACAGATCCTTGGTGGCTTCTGAACTTCGCTGTACCTTGTTCATGGCAGGCGTTTTTACAGCAAGTTTCTCTAAAAAGCAATTCACAGTCCTTCGTTGTCCTCCTCGATGGCCAGTCACAATGGTTAGGAGCTCCTCTAATCTGACGACGTCGTGTACGACTTCTCTCCTTCCCAACATGCTAACGGATCTTCTTTTTCAGCTTTCGGCTGAAATGCACTTTTGTTCAAAGGAGACAAAGATCTAAACGAATGGTAGAGGATGGTACTACTGGGACGCGCAGTAACGCATTTTGGTTGGTGAGAATGTGGTCGACCCCTTCATCTGCCGTACCGTTGGGTACTCCCATGTCCAACATTGTGTTTTTTCTCCATGGAGATGGTATTGCTATGAAAAAGCCGTGCGGCGGATAAGAGCCCAACAAGACGGTTACCATCTCTGAGCCCTGATCCAAATCTCCCAATCCTATGCTCCCCTTCTTTTGACATCCACCTTTTTGCATTGAAGTCACCCACAACGAATCTGTAGAGGGGAGTTTCTTTGCGTGTGACTTCTTGCAAATCCTAAAAAAAGCATATAGCTGTAATCAGCCACTGAATAGTAGAGCTAATAGTGATGGTGTTCTGATGCACAGGACGGAGTGGATAGCCAGGCGGGATGACTCATGCAATTCGACAATATGGGCAAATGAATGTCGACAAATTCAACACCTCCAACGCTCCGTGATGGAACTTCTCACCACGAATGATGGATATGTCATCATTCAGTTCGTCTTCAGGGAACCACTGGTGCTTTTGGCAGGGCCTACTTTTAGCTGGGCTTTGGGAGGACCAAAAACGTCGAACTCCTTCTCAGTTTGGGAGATCCTGCTGGAAGATAAACTCCGAGTTACTTCGCGGTTTGACATCCAGAGTCACCCCCGAGCCACGGTGAAGCGGTAAATCATCACATATTTCAATAATGCATGCAGTGCAGTAGCACAAGAGATAAGATCCAGAGCATACACTCGCA